AAAAAAAAAAAAAAAAAAAAAAAAAAAAAAATATTTTGATGTGTATTTTGTTTTGTACGAAAAACCCTCATGAAATTATTGAATTTTGAAAAACTGTACTATTTTCGGTGGATTTGTGATTTGACTATCTTTGTTTTTGTCATACACACACTCAACCAACCAATCAACAAACGAAACCATAATACACATAAATAAAAAAAAACAAAAAAAAAAAAAAAAAAAAACTAAAACAAAAACAAAAAAAAAATCGTTAAAAACATCATCGTCCTGTTAAATGCCAATGTGTAGAAAGCCACCTCAGACACCAGCCGAGTAAGTGAAACGATTTAAAAAACATAAAAAAAAAGTAAAACATTTTCTATGTGTATCGTGATTATGTTGTTGTAAAAAATAAAAAAAAAACAAAAAAACAAAAACTAATTAAATTTATATCACTAGCTTAGCATAATATAAATAACAGGCTTTCTTAAGAATCCCTTAAAAAAAAATAAATAAAATAAAGAGAAAATCTACTACTATTAGACCAGCACACAAGCACATAACAACGACAACACAATTTAGGATATAACTAATATAATATATATTTGATAGTCTCGTATAAAAAAAAAAAAATAAAAATAAATAAATAAAAGTATAAAAGCATAAACATCGTCTGATAACAGCAGCTTTTGTTTCGTCTCTAACTCATGTGTGTAGATTTTCAATTTTGGTGGTAGAAATTTTCTAAACTCATTTGGCACTTGAATGGAGAACAAACGTTGTATGTCGTTGTGTAATGATGCTTTTACAAATATAATAATAATAATAATAATAATAATAATAATAGCAAATTTTTTTGTTCCAAGACCTTTTTGGCACTCAACGCAACAGTATCGCATAACATGTTCGAAATTTATGTAATAAGAAGAACGCAATCGAAATTTAAGCAAAACAATGCTTACAATGCTTACACTTTGCTTTTTGTATATGTATTTGTAGTTAAAGCATAATAACAACATTGTCATAATAATCTCAACATTACCTTATATATATATAAATATATAAATATACTTGTATGTATTTATGAATATAGAACATAAAATGAGATCACATTTAAGATGTGTTTTGTGTGTATTTGCTTTAAGGCGATTCTCAAATATATATTTGTTAGCTTAACTCAATTAATTTCATATCTTTTAACGTACATTTAGAAACGTAAGTTTAATCTCTTCCGACGTAATTAACGCCCTATGAATTATACCAAATACGCTGAGATACGTACCTGCATACGAATATGTTTTCATTTCCGATAAAAATAAATACGAGATTTGCAAACTCCTTTTTTTTTTGCAGTAAGTCCTGAAAATATATTTCAGTTCGGTTTTCTCTATCTTGTTAACTTCTTAACTATCGTGAGCATATTTAACACATGGGCAGATCGTGTCCGTTTACTTTTACATGTTATGTTTCAAATTTTTTCTCTTAATTTTTTTTTTTTTTTTAGTATTTATTTCTTATACTGAACATAAGTGTAGATAAACGGACATATATATATGACCGACGCATAAGCAAACAGACAATAGGCAGATGCATAAAGTAGACGAACATGGATGGGCAACGAAAAAGCGCATAGAAAAATGTACGAAAATGTATGCAAAGCAGATGGAGTGACTGAAAGAAAACGATAGTTATATAGACGGACCTACACACAGAAAGACAGAACCCAAAGAAGGAAACGGGGCGACGAACAGGTGCATAGGAGATGGAAGAAAAAAAGGCGTCAGACAATGGATGAAGCGATAGACAGGAAGATAAAATCGGACATACAGGTTGATAAACAGAAAACATGCACTGACAGATACGCTGACTACTACCAATGGATAAATGAGGCGAAAACAGGAAGACAGGATTACCGCTCCTTAAGCTTGCAAACGCAAGGCAAGCACATGACTTATATATCAATTCGGCGGCTATGAGAAGCTGTCCAACGTTTATCACTGATAAGTAGAATTTTTGCAGTTTTTGCCGACAATTGTCCGCTTTCCATTCTTTCCATTAAACGAAATAATAATAAGAATTACAAAATAATAGCAATAATTTTTATTATCTCTCCTTAATACTCGCGAAAAGAAGGAAGACAAAAGGGAGGGAAACTTTTAAAAAAAAAAAACAAATTGTAAAACTTTGCTTCTTATATGCAAGTTAAAGTAAATCGTTGTGGTATGATTGTGTTAATAAAATGTAAATAACTCATACGTCGCGTGGCCCACTAAAGTGCTTATATACTAAAAAGCTAAGAAAAAATCAAAAATCTTTTTGTGTTTGAAAATTGAAAAGCGAAAAACTTGATAAATGTTTTTAACACATAACCTAAATAATTATTTTTTATATAAAATTTTTTTCTTATCGTCTTTAAGATTATATATTTATTTATATATGTGTGTGTGTGTTTAAATGTTCTTAGAAAAACCCAAAAAGACAAACAAGAGAAAACTTGAAAAACTCAATAAATTATCAGTAAATAAACTTTCAACACTAATTTTTAGTTAATTAACTCAGTTTGCTTCTTTTTTTTTTTTCATAATATATTTCCTTATGTCACATATTTTTATGCTAATAAATAAAAAAAATTGTTGTGGCGGTTCTTTTCTTTCTTTTGCGGTCCAGTGATGATCCAGAGTTCATCAAACGTCAGGATCAAAAACGTTCCGATCTTGATGAACAATTAAAAGAATATATAAATGAATGGCGTAAACAGAGAGCCAAGGAGGAGGATGAGTTGAAAAAACTAAAAGAAAAGCAGGCAAAACGAAAGGTTTCGCGTGCTGAAGAAGAACAAAGAATGGCCCAACGTAAAAAGGAGGAAGAAGAGCGTCGCCAACGCGAAGTGGAAGAGAAGAAACAGCGCGAAATCGAAGAGAAACGTCAACGTCTCGAAGAGGCCGAAAAGAAACGTCAAGCCATGCTACAGGCCATGAAGGACAAGGACAAGAAGGGACCCAACTTTACAATTGCGAAAAAGGATTCGGGCGTGGTAACGATCTCTGTCATTGGCAATAATAGATATTGATTTTTCACTTGTTTTTCCCATAGTTGGGCTTATCTTCCGCCGCCATGGAACGTAATAAGACTAAGGAACAATTGGAGGAAGAGAAGAAAATCTCGCTGTCGTTCCGTATTAAACCCTTGGCAATTGAAGGTTTCAATGAAGGCAAATTGCGTGAAAAGGCGCAAGAACTATGGGAACTCATCGTCAAATTGGAAACTGAAAAATATGATTTAGAAGAAAGGCAGAAACGTCAGGATTACGATGTAAATTAAAAAAAAAAAAAAACAAAACAAAAAAAAAAAAAAAGAAGAAACAAAAACTTAATTTTATTTAAAACAATTTTTTTTTCTTTCTCTTTTTGCGCTTAGTTGAAAGAATTGAAGGAAAGACAGAAACAGCAGCTCAGGCATAAAGCTTTAAAGAAGGGTCTTGACCCTGAGGCTTTGACTGGCAAATACCCGCCCAAAATACAGGTTGCCTCAAAATATGAGAGACGTGTAGATACCCGCTCCTATGATGATAAGAAGAAACTCTTCGAAGGTGTAAGTATATCATATTTAACTTTTTCTTTCTTTAATGCTCCTTTTCGCATCGATTATCATAAAGCGAGTGAAAATATTTTAATGAAAACATGAAAAAAAAAAGAGAAAAAAATTAATTAACTTTTTTTTTTAAAAAATTCAAAAGGGTTACGATACGCTTTATAAGGAAGTTTTAGAAAAGCATTGGCAAGAAAAGCAAGAAAGATTTATGCAACGAACAAAATGTAAGCTTCACTTCAAAAAATGCAAATCTTATCTCGAGGACACAGTCTCTGTCACTGTTCGTCAATTGTCACTTCAAGCGTTATGTGTTGTTATTGCTATTACGTACCAAGACAACTTTTGCATAATATTTCTCCCCATTACTGTAATAACCATTATTATCTGTTTTTATAACATTTTAAACATATTTAAATTATATTAACCTGTATCACCCGTTTTTGTTGATACTGATGATGGTATTGTTGTGACCCTGACTTCCAATTTCAAAATCATCTTCTGATGATGCCAAATATTATATATGTGTTTATCAAATACCTCAAACTTTCCGTGTAGTACTAAAGAACATTTTCTGAATTCATATCAACGCACAGCACACTTTCATCAATCGAACATTCGCGATTGAAATGAATCCACATAGAATTCACACTTTCTCCACATAAATCCTATCAATATCGATCGTATGAATACCGAAACGAACAAATAACATAATTATACTCTCTCGCTAGAGATCTAGAGATCTTTATATGCCAACAGCGAACTAACTGCGAAGTAGTGTTTTTTTGCAATAATGGGAAGGCCGGTAAGCTGATCATAAGCGCTTCTTCAATGTCTCTTGCAGACATCTGCCAAATATGTGCATATAAGTTTAGACCGATATCTGTTACATTTTATATATTCTTGACAACGTGTTGCTTTAAGAATCACTGACGTTTTCAAACCTTCCCGTTTTTTTTTTTTTTGCAATTTTTAAAACTTTTTTTAAATGGTAGCGGGCCAATCTACGAAATTTTCACAAATTCAAATCTGTGAACTGTGTAGAATGTGAATAAATTTATTTCAAATTTCTCAAAATTGATTTTAAGTGACAGTAAGATATCTAACGATAAATGAGAGACCGACAGACCGACAGACGAACAGACAGACATTATTATAATCAAATGCACTCCGGGTCTTTCGCTAATCATGATGATGTATGAACCTTTTAAAACAAACAATATGGTCACGCAAAATGGATTCATATAGTATACATAACTTGCCTACATTTACATTTGCATTTACATAAAATCAAGAACTCAATACATTTTCTATCTATCTCTTTCTATCTCTAACTATCTATCTATCTATCTATCTATCTATCTATCTATCTCTCTCTCTATCTTTCTTTTCTAACCGTTTATTCTTTTATGGATGCCATGCATCTTGGCGCAATTTACGTGTACGTGTATTGGTTACGTGTTTCATTTGCGTGTGTTGCTTTGCCACTTGTCGTAACTGTTAAACCCTCTTAGGGCTGGGAAGAACTCGGCAAAGAGGTCAATGAGAAGATCTGGAATGAAAAGAAAGAACAATATGACGGCCGTCAGAAGTGTATGTATTTTGTTTGCGACTATGTCTATGTATGTATGTATGTATGTTATTCTAAGAAATGTCATTCATCGTTGCTGTGACCTGAATTCTTATGAATTATGTTGTGACGATTATTTTTTCATTTTTGTTTCTTGTTTTTTGTGCAACTTTTTTTTTTTTTGTATTTTGTTTGGTTTTTTTGAGAAAACAAAAAGAAAATGAAAAAAACAAAACAAAAAAGAATCACGCAAAAGTTGATTGTTTACATACACTTAAGTTATTGTATATATGTGATATGATTATTAATAAAATTTTTGCATTTATATTATTTAGCCAAATTGCCCAAGTGGTTCGGCGAAAGACCAGGCAAGAAGGCTGGCGATCCCGAAACACCCGAAGGCGAAGAAGATGCCAAGGCTGACGAGGATGTCTTGGAAGATGAGGATGAGGTCGAAGAAGAGGTTGTTGAAGAGGAAGAAGCCGAGGAGGGTGAAGAAGAGGAGGAAGAAGAAGAAGAAGAGGAAGAGGAAGAAGAAGAAGAAGAGGAAGAAGAGGAAGAAGAAGAAGAAAAAAAAAAGGAAAAAAAAAAAAAAAAAAAAAAAAAAACTTAATTACGTTTACATAATAAATTTAAAAGAAATTTTAAGAACAGCACCAATATTATTATTATTAGCTTAAAATAAAATCCAACAGTAAATTAACTTTTAATCCTGAAAGCAAAAAAGAAATAGTAAAAGGATTTTAAAAATCAAACGAGTACAGCACACTTCTTCTGTCCTAAGTAATAAAGGAAAACATAAATTAAGATAAATCTTTAATGCCATGAAATGAAAATGAAAACAACTTTCCACAAGTTTGCAACGACAAGTAAAAAACAACAACAATAATAATAATAGCAACAACAACAGCACCAACAAGTAAATGTTGTAACTTTCTTTTAAGGCTCTTTCTTTACGACTCTCTCTTACTTACACTCAAACACACACACACACACACACACACACACACACACACACACGCCCAAACACACTCAATCAAATATTTGTATAAAGAGAATGAAACAACAAAGATTTTTAAACAACATCAGCCTACTCGTCCATTGTAGCACATATATACACAAACACACACACACACACACACAGAGACGCATACACAGCCACATGCACACGGACACGTACAGAGAGACACACACTCTACTATATACATGATTAAAAAGCACATACACACACTCGCTCTCTCTCTCTCTCTCTCGTTCTTTCTGTCTCTTTTTACTTTCTCTCTTTGTTTTGTTTTTTGATAACTCATTTGAAAAGCTTAATGAATTTGTAAACTTTACTTTTTATTATTTTTATTAAAATTTTTACTCTCTACAAATGTTAGAGAGAAATACAAAAAAAAAAAAAAAAAAAAAAAAAAAAAAAAAAAAAAAAAAAAAAAAAAGACGAAGTTTAAGCAATCATAAGAAAGCACATAGACAAACGCTGTGTAATAATGAGCGTACTCCCAATACATTTTCGGATGCACAGACACACAAGCACACACGCACGGAAAACAATTGAAACAATCTCTCGCTCGAAATTCCTTTCTTTCGTTTAAGATATTTTACTTTTATTTTCATAAAATGAAAAAACGTTTTATTAAAACTTATAAATAAAAAGAAAACAACTTAAAAATCAAGTCCTATAAAGCAAATCATGATTCAATCAATTTTAAACAATAATTGAAGATTAGGTAGGATTAGCAGCCAATCACTTCAACGAATCAATGCCGCATGATGCCGTTAAAATTTAATTTGTCCAACGCTTTTGTTTTACACGATAAGCATGTGCCTTAGAAATCCGTGTAAAAAAAAAAAATCGTGTAAATTGATGAACCATCTTATTTTAAAAGCGTGTAAAAAAAGAGTTGCGAGCACATACCAAACTATAAGAGACCTTATAAATGATGTTTGAATGATTCGGTCCCGACATGTAAGCTCGCAGCGTATATAACAAATTTACATATACATATATATAGCGCTTATCTTTGAACTTGCTCTCAATAACTTAATTATTTAATTGAATGTGGGGCGTACTCGTGTTGAAATCGTATATCGGAGCCATTCGGCACTCATGCGAAAAGATTATTATTCCTGTTCAAAATGAACAATAAATTGATATGAGAGATACTCGATTTCGTAGAATGACGAGTAATCGGTAAACATAGGCCGTTAAAAAGACTCTCCCATAAATATGAAATAATTCTTTGTTGTACTTTTGCACTTTTTCATTTTCTTTGCACATACTCTGAAACACCGGCCTCCGACTACCGGACTATGAAACGTATCATTACGTGGAATGGGGTTTGGATTTGAAAATGTCTGATCAATCGAGTCAAAGTGAAAGCCAAAATCAAGGTCATCTTAAGAGTTGAATGAATTTCTGCCGCCAAACCTAACTATTAACAAATTCATCTTATTTTTTGACTGAAGTGGTATACTGACGTCTCCCAGACATGCACACATATATATATATATATATATATATATATATATTCTTCGTTAACATGACGAGCAGAATTAATTATCGTATGCCTGTCTGTCTATCTGTCTTTTATTCGTACGTCACAGGGATGATTACGCTTGCGAAATTTTATCCACTGGAACAGGCCTAAGTCAAAATTTTCCCCATCGCTTCACTTGTTCCCAAGTTATAGTCCCACGATTAAGGAGCCTTCAATTCAAATCTTTCTGATGCTTTCTAAATTCTTCGCCTATGACTTAATGGAGTAAGTAGCTATCGTTTAATTCTTTTCAATTATTTGCGGTATACAATGGATGTATGAAATGACTGGATCTTAACTGAAACCGATTTAATATATCGCTATTAGATCGTTATGTTAACTTCAAAACTAAAATGTGTTTAGTGACAATGAAATATAACTAACTAACTGTAAAATACATATAAACTTCTTTTTGTTTAAAGTTTGAGTTGCTAATCATCATCATCTGTGTTGTAGACAAACTTTACAATTAAAGTTCAATTCTTGCTGCGAAAGTTTTTTTTTTTTTTTTTTTTTTTTATTTTTTTTAAATTTTTTGATTCCAATCCAAATATTTTTTTTTTTAAAAAAATTTTAAAATTAAATTTTAATTTTTTCTGCAAAATTTTTTTTTTTTTTTTTTTTTTTCTATTATATGTCAATTTTTCGATTCCACTCCATATATTTTGTATAGTAACAAAGTCTAATTTTTGTTATTTTAGGGCGTAAGGAGATGAAGAATAGGGAGACCTTTGGAGGAGGGTATTGAATGGGACGGGACGCCTTTAGTCGGCTTTAAATTTATTACCAATTTTTTAAAAATTTATGGAAAAACTATAAACATGCTTTGGGAAACGAGAAGACCGACCCCAGACGTTTCCGCTAGGAACACATAGTTTGCAAACAGAACCGTTTCACCCAAAACCCAAAAGAATCCATATAATATATCGATGACTTGGACCTAGAAGGACCAAATAAAAATTTGTTACAAAATTTATTTCCACTAACACGAACCTGGACAAGTAAAAAGAAAAAAAAAGTCAATCCTTTTTTTTTATTTAGGAATGAATGGCGTTGTAGTCAAGATGTTCTTCTTCATGTTCTGTAATAATATTTCTTTTATTCAAATTTTAATTTGTTGATTTTGTCGTAAGCAAATCTTTAATTGATAAGCATTGTTCTGGTTTTGCTTTTTCTTAAAATATATGATAGAGAGAGAGAGAGAAAGACAGAGAGTGCGTGTGAGGAGCTCAATATGAGCGACAGCAATAGTTGGTCATAAGCAGAATATGTGTTTGAAGTGTGCAAACACGCATTCAAGAGCTTTACCGCTTACGTAGAGTATAACTTCCATGTGTGGTCGCGTATTTTCGAACTTTGCTTGGACGCACTCAAGCGCATCCAGCGAACGGTTCAAGCGCTCCTGCACGACGACAGTGTACCCAAAACTCTTGATATCTTTAAGCATTGGCGTAATATGGGTGGTTTGTCCATCAAATAAGTCCTATAAGGGGCACACTATCGAGATTGATAGTTGCATGACCATAACATCCATCTTCGGAACAATCTACCGGCAGTGGAACGTTCACAAATACGCCTCCCTTTCTTCACCCCGGTCTTCCTATAATGTCTCCTGCACAGATAGGCGACATCCTCCCAGTATGGCTTCCAATATCAAATTTGTCCACGCTTTAGAGTAATATAAAAATCTTATAAATTTAGTTTTTGTTAGTAAGTGGCCGGGTACAAGTAACGAATTCCCATAAATTGATGATAATTTCCACTATATGTTATGAGACCGCTTACCATATCTATCTTCTTCTCAAATACAATCATTTATTTACTTAATTTGACTGTTTAGATGCGTTTTTGTGTAGCTATTCACAGCAGTGTTACACTATCTTAAATTAAAATCTAGTCAAGTTAGTCTTGTTTCTTAGCGTACATAATTTAACATTTTCTCACCCGAATGAGGTTAACTTGTTCTTCCAAATCCCAATGCAGTGTACAGTCATATGCGCTGGCATCTAAACAATATGTCAGACGTAAGGATAAGCAGAAGAACTTATGCCTTTTCTCGACACGGACATGTGTAGCACATACACATTTGTAGCACATGTTTCAATTTTCTTGACATGTTCTCACCACTTAAGCCAAAAGTCTGTTGCTTTCTTGATGCAGTAAATGTAAACAAGTAAACTTAACAACAAATAAATTATTTTACTTGAATTTTTCTAACATATAATAGCAAGTGTAACAAATCCGCACACAATTATATATGTATATACATATACATATACATATACATATACATATACATACATATAAATATATTTATATGTGAGTTTGTATAGATTTTTACGTATATACAAATATATATACAATAAACTGCTTAGAGTAACGCAGCTCATGTGCTAGTGCATTGAACCCTACGCTACGTGCACATGTCTGTATATATATGTTTATCACATTTTTTATAAAAATTGGTGTAGGGTGGCATACACACAAAAGATAGTAGAAAATTTAATATGCAAAGACTACATGGTTTTAGTTTTAGTTTTAGTTCAACTTAAATCATTGATTAAATAAAGGATTTCGAATACTTATTAAATATACATATTGAAGGGTATTGAAGCGATGTATTCCTTTCGGCTTAAGAGTGCGGAATAGAAGAAGAAGAAGAAGAGAAGATGCAAATAGCACATTCGAGCATTCTTTTAGAACCTTGTCTTACTGAAAAACCGCTTCTACTATGTCACGACTTGTCTCATTATCGTTCTGCTAATTATGATCGTCGCAGTCGCTCCAGCTTTTCGATGAGATCTTACCAAATATAGAGCATGAGCACGGCGTCAAGACTTTTCCGATTTATCGCCGATATTGTCAGTGGTAATTCGCTCGATGTGTTTTACAATTTTTTACAGCTGAGATCCGATATCCGATACCCTAATCGTTTTCCTTCAACAATCCACAATATGATACAACAAATCTTCCCGTTCATGTCTGCAAAGCAACGATTCACAGGTACACAATAGAATTTCGGCTTGACTCTGAG